GCCGCAAACAGAGAGAGACTGTGATTTAAAAGAACAGATAAATAAAATACTTCATATTTTGTTCCACAGATGTCCTCCAGAGTGGAAGGGAGAAAACTGCCAGATAAGCATATATAACGTGGTTGCAACCTCAAGTATATTTGATTTTACAGCCCAATATATATAAGTACAACATTCAAAGTCACTTGTAACCAGCAAACTTTATCTTCTTATTAATTACCTGCTTTTTGCCTCCTCTGTCCATGTCCCTTCATCTCAGTTGGAATAGCGATTGGGGTGACTATAGTGATTGTGGTTCTCCTGGTTGCTCTGGTCTATGCTGCCAGGAAGAAGTCCAACCTGCTGGAGACGCTTCGGAACAACATGCCCAGTATGCCCTCAATGCCGTCCATGCCCTCAATGCCGTCCATGCCCTCAATGCCAAACTTCCGGTGAGATGGAGCCAGCAGAGAAAAGATACAGACGATGGTTATTGCAGTCAGAAAACAAGACTAAAATGAAATCAAATGAGATTGTTTTACTTAAATGGATTTGAGTTATATACTTTTAGTGTATTAGACTCACTTACATTTCACTGTGAGGATATGTTAATATTCTATGTACAGCATCAGGTTACAGCTGAGTCATATGTGTGTATTGATGATTTTCAGAAACAGTTCATCTCCAAATGCATCGAAAACAGAGGGAAGTGACGTAAGGCTGAATTCTGAAGCGGTCAGTGGCAACACATAAACAGATATTCACGACCATATGCACCATATTCTTAGGATTCATTCAGATCAGTGCTATTATTGATACCTGTATTGGTTCTTTTTTATTACAAAATAACAAAATATTATCTCTTGAGCTGAAATTACTGTATAAACTCAATAATATCTCCTTGGAAACAAATCTGAAATTTAAATAAATAATAAATAAAATAATTAATATTCCGGACATTAAAACACTAAATTAAGTTTAAAAAGAACAGAAATAAGCTCCTCTGACACCTTGTCCTAATGATTTTATCTTTTCACTCATGAAGGTTTTATTGCACCTACAGTAACGATCATAGGTCATAATCATTTAGAACTGCTTCCAGTCCAGAATCAGGTTTCAGGGGGGGCACAGCTTTTCATGACAGAAGCAAATATTTCATGTCAAACGAGTCTCTGGCTGATGATTCACATAAACCAAGCTATTATAGTTATATAACTCATTCTGTCTACTTGTCTGATGTCAGGTTCCCTGTATGTCTGTGTCCATGGTGGACACGGAGGGGAAGAGTTTTGAGAACCCAGCATATGACGCTGGAGAACAACCTACTGCCACAAGCATGGTGACCGCCATCCCCGCTCCTGATGGAACAAACAAGGTCAATAAACTGAAATCATTGATCATATCTCTTCCTACACAGTGGCTGCTTATTCATACCATGCTACATGGCAACAGCTTTAGATTATACGCCAAAGGGCAGCATTGTCAAGAGCAAAATATTGCTAATGGATTTGTCCTTGTCCCCCACACTGCAATGTCAAAATTCAGTTTGCTATAATTCTTTAGTTTTGTACCCAGAAATATAAAAACATCATGTGATCCAACGCAGCACTTCAATCTCTATAGAAGTTTTATACTTTGACCTATTTTTATTAGCTCAGTGTTGTGATCCTGTGTTTCCTTCCTCAGGAGTACATCGATAATCCTTTGTATATGGAAGAAGTTCAGGTTGTGGCCACAGGAAGCGCAAACAAACCTGACGCTGCCAACAAGGTTTGTGAACGATTGAATGTCACGCCAAACGTTTTTCATATCTATTAACTGAGTGGATTCATTCTAAAATGCCATAACATGATAATGAAAAACATTATTACATAATAAATGTTGTGTGATGATCACAAATTAGTCTAATATTCTTTTAAGCCATTTATTTTATTTTTCTACCTTGTGGCCACTTTAGGAAGCTTTTGAGAACCCAGCATACGGCTCAGACATAGAAGATGTTGCCTCTGCAGAACCAGCTGCTGCGAGCGCACAGGTAGCCATGGAGACAAAACGTTACACGTTTACAGCTCAGTATCTGAAAAACAATAACGGCGTGCTCTGAATGCTTGGAAATTTACACGTAAAGGTCTGACATAATGTGATTAATAGTGGACTGTTTTATCAGAGTGGATGTGAGAGCAATAACAGTGTGTGTGTGTGTGTGTGTGTGTGTGTGTGTGTGTGTGTGTGTGTGTGTGTGTGTGTCTGTGGTCTGATTTAGGCTACCTTTGGGGACACATTTCAGCCTAGAGGCCAGTTAATTGGAGACAAAAACCTTGTCCCCAATTTAGAAAAAGCTGATTTTTGTCAGTGGTCAGTGTCAATTTAGAGTAAGGGTTAGAGTTAGGCATGTAGTGGTTAAGGTAAGTGAGCAGGAGAAGAATGTACGTCTATGTCCTCAAGATGGCATTTGTGTGTGGTGTACTTATTGAAGCATTTCATTTCTCCTTTCTTTCTGAAGTTTGAGCCCATTATGGATGACCGTTTTTTAGCCTTCAAAAACCCCACATACACGGTGAGTCTGGGAATGAAGTAGGGGGGTAGAAAGTATGTACAGGCACCATTAATTGGCCCAAAACACTGTCCATCGCTCTGTATTTAATAAGAATGGCTAGATTTCATATTTTAACACCCAGAGCTGTAAATGGTTTGTGCATGATGGCTAGAGGTTTTTATACACGTCTAGTTTTAACTTGGAAGCATTTACATTTACTTACGTTGTCCTTTTTGTTAAATATTTAACATGATTTTAATCAGGTAAAATACAGGATATGACATTTATTTATAAAACATGAACCCTCTTGGAAACGATACCTCATTGCTTTAATTTTTTGTAATGGTTTGTTTGTCCAGCAGGAGAACTCACTCCCGCCCGCTCCAGATTCTGACGTGTAATGTGACTTCTACATCAGAGATTAGACTGGACTACGTTTCAGGACTGAAATATTATTATTATTGTTAGAAGATGTAACATTACAGAAGTAACTGCACAGCTCAACACGCAGAACATTTCAAACACTGACAGACCTGCAACAAATCAACCAAGACAGTTTGTAAAAGCAAAATATATACTGTGTCATCTATGTACTTTAATTAAATTTGTGTACAAAAATAAACTTTTACTGACATGATTTACTGCAACTAATATGAGGCTCATTCAATAACGTGATAAAGTGATAGATGTAGATAAATGTTGTTACTGATCATATTTGTATGTAAATTTTGATTGTAAGAGAGTTAAATATTAAAACTATTATCATCAATATTGTGTGTCAGTAAAAGTGTAATGATCGGACTGCAAATGGTATCAATTTCAGATTTTCAACCCTTTTAGATGAAGCCCCTGATACTGAACCTTATTCCAATCTCTCTCTTGTACCTTTCTGTGCGCAACAGTGCACATATCACAGGAGGATCTGTCAGTAGGACAAGACTCAGGCTCCCACTGGTGTTATCCACTCTGCTCATCACAGATAGGACTCTGATCCCCAGCTACTGTATCTGACCCACTGAGCTGAGATGAATTGCTTTGTCATCATCCATTTAATCACACAGAGAGCCACAATTTGAGACCGTGATCACGGAACAACAGCAGCGATCCTGCCCCCCTCTCTCCCACTGTCACACAAATGTCTGAACACATGAAGGTCTTGCTGAGCCTGCAACAACCAGGCCAACCAGATGAGCAAAGGGACAAAAGAAAAGTGGAAAAGACAGAGGGAATGGAGAAAAAAAAGTGGAAGCACAATAGGGAGGCATGTAAAGGGAGCTGTGAATTCTGTGTTTTTTATGTTGTGGTCCATGATGATTCATAGTTCATGTTTTCATAGCACTGGTCCACCACAAGGCATCTCTGACCGTCAGCCAAAACATGTAATGTACCGCTCACTGAGACACAGAGACATAGAGGGAGGGGATGAATAGCAATGGGTGGATTTGAGAGGGGCGGACCAAAGAGGCATGCAGCTTGCAGCATGTGTGCACACTGTGCTGCCTTCAGGAGCTGTCAGAAACGGTACACATTAATCCAACAGTGAGATTTCCACGATTCCTGAATGGCAAAGAAGTTTATTGATTTATTGTTTTTCAATCACCTTGGGTTATGTGTATTGGTGTGAATACAAGGGTTGTAGTAAAAAGAGCTTTGTTTTTATTAGAGAATATTTAATAAAAGGAAGAATTAATATTTTCTTTATCATTTAAAAACTATTTATTGCTTGTTACAGGTTCATATCTAAATACTTATATGTGTAAAGGCATTTCAGCATTAGGTTACATTAGATCATAGTTTGTATGGAAGCCAATTTATAAATTTTAAATAAAATTACTATATAATAATTAGTAATATTGTGAAAATTGAGACTCAATCTTAAAAATACTGACTTTTAATTGACATTGACATTAATATATTTGTTATTGCTAACATTTTCTTTTTCCTGGCAAAAATAGGTGTCTGTGTATTTTTGCACTTTGTGTAAAAATAAGTGCATATTATGGATCCCTATGTCCACCTTTTATTCAGTTCGCAATTGTATCCAAAACTTTACTACACAACTTACAATCACAAACTATTAGTCAAAAATCATATTATGCCATGGCTGGATTAACCTCTCAGGAGGTCACTGGGCAAACATTTGCTGTTGGACCCTTATTGACATCCATCCCTCTTACCTCCAGCACACAACACAGAAAACTAGATTTTGACTAAGGGCCCCTATAAAGACGGGTCCACAACTTTGCTTGATCTTCATCACATTATGGGGTATAGTACTAAATAATTATTTACAAAGAAAAAAACAAATGCAGGATGCACATTTTCCTCTCTCTCATTTTCCATCCTGCTAATAACTCAAATATACTACAAGTACAACATATTAATACAACACCACCCTTATTTATCTGTGAATGTGGGATGCCAGAGGTTCCGAGGAGCACCTGAAGGCGGCACAGAGAGAGAGGAGAGAGCGCGAGGGCGAGAGCAAACTGACTGACAGAGGGGGAAGGGGAGGCTCATTGAGCGGTAGATTGGATGAGGAGCGGAGGAATAAAACCTAATGTGAGACAGTCAGCTGGAGACAGAGAGAAAGAAAGAAAGAAAGAAAGAAAAAAAAGGGGGGGCAGACTGGTGCAGTAAGAGAAGCGGTGTCGGGTTCACGGAGGGACGGACAACAGAGAGAAACACGCGGAGGCTGAGAAAGAGAGAGGAGCCTCAACAAGGTAAAGATGCTCTGACTCAACTCTGTACAGCTCTTTACCTCTGCTCGGCTGTGTGACTGACAAAGAGAGGAACCGTCTGGCTTAATTGACACACACATCTACACTCACACAGATGTTAAACCCTCACTCTGTTTAAATGCAACATTTTTTTTGCTTTTTATGAATCAAAGGGGTTTTGAGTAAAAAGCATGTGGATGCCTGACTGTGCTGTATGTTAATGAGGGGTGTGTATCACCTGTGATTGATTGCCAGCTGGTGGAAGATAAAGCAGCACAGACTGCATAAGCTAATTACAATGACTTTAATAAATTCACCTTCTGATGGAATTTAAAAAGAGAAATGTGAGCAATGTGGTGCAGGTGGTTGACAGGACAGGCCTTTTAGCTGAGACTCGGTCACGCTTTGCTGCAAGGCCAGGAGAGGGTTTTATGTTTTATGGCTTTATTGGCTTTCAGGAGAAGCAGGAGAGATTCAGCGAAGGTCAGGGTTTAATAAACAAAGACTCAAGGAAACACCCAGTCTGGTTTTAGATCTTGGAACTTCCTTTTATGATTATTTTGCCATGTTTTTGGAAAAAAACTAAAAAAAAATAAGTTTTTAATGTAAATAACTATTATTTGATTGGGTAGATGACATTGTTTGCAGCCTCTAAAGTTTGGTTCCTGACCAGCCAGATTGACATTTTATCCGCCATCATGTCAAGGTCCTACTCTGCTCCTTAAAACCTATTATGGCTTCTGAAATTGCCTACTGAGAGAAAGAGACACACAAATGTCTGGTTTCTTTCACCTCAGACACAAAGCTAAATTCAATCTCCCAACAGTAGATCCTTTATCCTGCTGCTGTGTCTCAGAGTGGGCGTGTTGAAGGTGTTCTGAAGTGATGTTCTTCTTATAAGCCTCTTAAAAATCGTCTGGCTCCTCTATGACCTCCTCTGCACTGCATTTAATAAAAAAAAAAAAGTTTATTATTATTATTTTGTAATCCTTGTGATGCAAGATGAACTTTAAATGTTTGGTCGACAGAATAAAATGTTCAAGAATGATCATCCTGTGATGAGAGCATATGGATTTGCATGCAGTTATGAAAGTCATCTGTTTCGTATTGATTCTACACACGTTGACCGACTTTAGGATTAGAGCCGAAGCACAAATAGTGAAACAAAAGCCAAACATCTTCGGTCGAGGTTTCTTAGTTGAGATGCTTTTCTGTGTCATATATCATTTTAAACTTAATACCTTTTTGAGTTTTCTACTTTTTTTTTTTGAGCAAACAAGGCATTTAAAGGCATCACCTTGGACTTTGGGAGGTAATGATGGGTATTTCTTTCACTTTTATTCTGACATTTTATTGAGTAAATAATCCCTTTTGAGATGCAGACAGAGAATGATTGTTGTTCCACTTTGTAAAGAGAAAAGAATCAGTTTAATTTATTTGAAATGATGAACACACTACAAATGTTGTTGACTTGCTATAGATTATCTTAATTCCTCGGCAAAATGTACAGCAGGCAACTTATTGGAATGAAATTTGTCATATTCAGATATGTCAGATCAGCCATGTGGGTGGCATCAATGGTGGTGGATGGACTACACACACGTACACACACACACACACACAGAGCGTGTGGGCAGATGGCATCAGCAGTGTGTTGCCGACCTCGCCCCTCTCTGTCTCCCTCTCGGGACCCGTCCAACAGCAAATGAGTCTGGCAAACAGGGGGCGTTTGTACGTGCGTGTGTGTGTGTGTGTGTGTGTGTGTGTGAGAGAGAGAGAGAGAGAGAGAGAGAGAGAGAGAGAGAGAGAGAAAGTGAGTGAGTGAGTGAGTGAGTGAAGAGGACAGTGACGTAAGGTTAAGCTCTCCAAACACAATGTCAGTGTAATAAAGTGCTACGCTGACGTGACTGTAGATCGTGTTGGTGTGGGATGAATAATTCTGGTCACAATCAAGTTTTGTGAAGATAAATGACAAAGAGGCTGAGAGACACTACGAAGTTAACCAGCGGAAAAACTCATCAGTCAAAGAATAAAAGGGACAATGAGTGAGGAATTTTACCGTCAATCATAAACCTCAAAGCTCCATGATACACAGCATGAAGAAGAGGTGCGAGTATGAAATGGTGTCATAATCCAGCACGCTCGTATGAGCACCAGCAGCCCGGGGGGGGACCATGAGTGGAAACGTGAAATTATATTAAAAACCAAGAACAAAACAATAAAGAACACACAGCTGACAGGTTTACTATTGTGCCACGGAGACCCTGCCAGGCTGTAGCATGAGCTACGTCCCAATACTGGTGAGCTTCTACGAGTTGTAGCAGTAAACAAGATCAAATGATAACCACAGGGTCAGACAGTTTTAAGTGTGATGTGTTAAACTCTTCTTTTATTAGAATTTAAACAGACACTCGGCTTGTTGAAGTTTCCTTGAGCACCCATACGTTGGTGAGACGAGTCAAGGTGATTTAAAACGAAAACGTGCCAATTGGAGACAACAAATGATGAATTATTCATTATTAAATATAATCTGTATGCAAATGTTGCAAAGGGCAGGCTCTAAGATAATGAATACACCTGACTACCAAACAAAATGAAGTCAGTTGACCAAGTCTTGTGCTTTGAGTTAAAGTCTGGATTAAAGCTTTGAACCTTTCTCACAGAAAGTACCAGACTGTCTCTTTATAACTAAATTGTGCATCACAGGAAATAATACATTGTGATCAGATGTATTATAACAATAATCTAGATTATTGACACTTAACAACTACTAAAGGAAGTTTCAATCAAAAGTCAATCACAAGTTCCCAAAGCCCAAGATGGCGTCTTCCAGTTATTGTCTTCCAGTTAACAGCTTTGTGAGGCACAGGAAGGTTATGAGATAAATGGTAAGGTGGTCACATTGACAGTGCTACCATGCTGATGTGAAGGAGGTTTACTGTCTACATTATCTTTCTTTAGAGAATCTGCAGACAGCACACGCGTTGAGATAATGCTGCAAGTCGCAGGTCGATAGTTCCCAGTGAGTAGTCTTGACTTCCGATCTAAATGTTCATTACTCTTTGCTATGTACGATCCTCCACTACACTCTTCTGTGTTGGAGGTTGTTTTTTCTGAGTACAATGGATTGCAGCATAACTTCCTGGATTAACATCTGTATTTTACATCAGTATTTTAACCCAAGCTGTGGTAAACATAACCATGTAGTTTTGGTGCCTACAAATAACCGTGGGTTATGTCATGTGGTGCATTCTACCCACAGATAGATATTTGTTTTAGTGTCATCATGCTAACATTTGCTAGTCAGCACCGAACACAAAGTGAGCTTTGAACGTATTTAGTCGTAAACCAAAGTAGTGGGTAAAAGATGAAAAGTCAGATGGTTGTCAAAATTAGGATGATTCTCCTGAGGGAGACTGAACCAAATGTCGTGGCATTCCATACTATATTCGCAGACATATTTCAGTCTGACACTGCGGTCCCTAGAGCCGTGGCTAAAACCCCCAAAGGGATTCAGATTTTAATGATATAAGATGGAGAAAAGCTGCAAATCCTCACAGTGGAAAAACAGAAACATACATGTAATTGAATAAAATCCTTTATTATAGTAAGTAAGTAGTAAGTTATTATAAATGTGAGTCATAAAGCGTTATTGGAATAACAGTTTTAGTCCTCTTTCCCATTTGCTGCTTCTTGCTAAAAACATCTATTTCCTATCGGTCTGTATTAGAAAAGGTGACTTAATGCTTTTCAGTACAGCCTCCGCTACATCCTTGCTGCTATTCAGTTTCTCTTCTAATCTGCCAGCCCTTTCTAATCTGCTTCATTGTATTCATTGAAATCCTCAGTGATGCACACATCCGCGAGCACTGCCGCCTTAAATCAAGGAGGCTAGATAATACCACCATATGGTCGGCGGGAACCTTAAGTATTTAGACGATAGACTCAGTTGAGTGAGAGGAAAAAAAAAACAAAAACAGAAAGATGTCTGCTTTAAGCTCTTCACAGCCTCTTGTAATTAGAGAGAGAGAGAGTCGGATGGAGGGAGGAAGAGACGGAGAGGAAGAAGGTCAGGAACGTGGGCCAAGTGTGCAGGGAGGAGGGTTGAATGAAAGCAGGGAAGCGCAGAACTTGTTGTTAGAACTGAGTTTTTCTTAATGGAGTGTGGTTGAGTGATGGCCAGACAGCAAAAACGAAATAAACTTCCATTTAACGATAAGGAAAATGCAGTTTTGTTTGTTTTTTAATCCAAACACTTAATGATAAATCACCTCTAAATTTGGAAATAATAAAAGTTAGAGGACAGTTTTCCCCTAGAAAGGCATCAAGCGGTAATTACAGTAGAAAAAATGGTCAACATTTTCAGGCTGGCATAGATGAAAACATTGTAATGGCTTCATTTTATGCCTTTCTTAGGCAGACCATTTTAACTTGTTTGTTTGAGAAAACTGACTTTGTTCTGACTCAGTCCATAGCTTAAAGGAATCAAATGTATCTCTGTTTTCATTGGTGTCTATATTTATTTATAATAATTAGAGTATATTATTTCACAATTTAAGAACCTTCAAAGCGTTACTTAATGGTTGCACAACCTCCAAACCTCAGTCCAGTACAGTTAAAAGCTGAGATGCCAGTTACTGCTACTCTTATAAACTAGTTTAGTATAAGCAGGAGTTTCATTTACAGAAATTTAGTGCTAGATTCAGCTTAGTTCAGTATAAGGACAATATAGAACAACGGCAAAAAGTTATTTCCTTCTAAAAATGAACTTTGTTTGATCTAATGGCCGCAGTCTCAGACCCTGGGTACTCCTTTGTTGCCAACCTGTTGGGCTACCATTTTTCACGGATATCTTGCTGCCGATGTGCACCGTATCCTACTGACAGAGAGGAGCAAAAGCATGAAACAAAAATAAATAAATATTACCACCTTGGTTTGTGTGAGCTGACACTGCACAGGCCTGCCAGAGTGTCTGTATGTCTCGCCTGATAATGTGCAGAATAGATTTTTTAAAAGTGCCATTTTGTCAATGCCCCGCTGAGTGAGTGAACGAAGGGACCGACATGCTGATGTTGGTGCCGCATTAGACTGAATCAATCTGGGAGTATTATTATTGATGCCCAAGGGTCACTCATGGCGAGAGGTTAAAGGTCATGTCATCCTCCAGCAAAAATAAGTGATAACAGTTCAAATATTCTATCCTTCCTTTGGCAAGGACCCGTGCTGGCCCCCGGGCCCCAGTTTGAAAGCCGCTGAAGTTTCTTGGCTGGGAGCAATAACTTAGGAGGTCACAAAGTTGCCATGCCAACCATAAAGCCACACACATTTATTTAGTTGATTAAACAATGGAGATATAATGTCTTTAGTGAGCTTAGAGGTGCTGGTAGGTGGTTTTTGTTCCTTTTGGACAGAGCCAGTCCAGCTGTTTCCAGTAGTTTTGCTAACCTAAGTGTCTGCTGGCTCTAGCTCCATATCTGACTTCATATTTTTCTGTACAGACATGTGATATCGTTCGTCTCACTTGTACTCTCAGTGAGAAAGCAAATACGCGTAACTGTCGAGCTATTCCCGGTAATAGAACATGATAAATGCTGAATGAAGAGATGCAGATAAATTATTTATGGTGTGTTCATCCTCCAGTAAGTTTTATAGAAAGCAATTTTATTCTCACGTTTGTAATGATACCATCAACATCCATGTGCTGCTAATGGACAACACCAGCACCACCGAACAGACAGAAAGTCAATTATGACGTGTAATAGCTCCTTTCTGAGGACCTTTTTAAAAAGCTTGTTTTTCATCACCACTCAGCGGCCTATGGCACAATTGAATGCATAACATTTTAAACCTGGCCTCAACCTGCGCTTTATGAACACCTGTCACCAGCTAAATGAAGGTCTGTTTGTGCTGTGGCTGTTTATTATAATTGCCACTTTGGCACGATGCCATCCTGCCTTCAGTCACTTTTTGGTCAGTTTTCACCAGCCCTACCGGGTAAAACTTGACCATGAAGTGACAGAAAATGATGACGAATTAAAAGAAGACAATTGTAAATCACAGTTTTGATACAGTTGGCAAGACAACAAAAAAAGTGGTGATTTCTTTTTTAAACTCTGAGATACCGAACTAGAAATTCTCCTGTTGCATTCATTGTATTATGATTTCTGTAAATATAATCAGGAATAACATGAAATTCATGAGGCTGATGGATGTCTCCATTCATCTGTCATAGCAGTAAATAAATTTGTTGAGGGCTGACGCCACGCCACATTGCTAACAGGCTGATCGGGTGCTCCTGGCTGTTGTTCATGGACGTCAAGCAAGCATGTGTTTGTGGTAATTGTGGATGTCTAACAATGAGCCAGAAAACACTGCAGGATTGTTTTTCTAATTTCCATCTCAAAGGAAATATTGCTTCCAGAGGGAAAAACACAGACTTTTACTTTCAGTTCTGGCTTCACACAGATTTTTTTTAAATGTGTGTCTCTTGTGGCATCCAGTCAAATGTGGTAATTCATTTGTTTGTGTCTCTAACTACTTCATATCTATCTTTTTATTTGTATTTTATCCTGTTCAGTAGAGTACCCTGTCCTTTGCTGTCCTTTAAAAAGTGAGGTGGAGAGAGATTACTGTTGTGTCATGCCTGGTTGTTCAGATTACAAACTGCCATTAAATACATCATTATAGTATTTGCTTATTAATACAGATTTATTAAGATGCAACAAGTGGCTGCAGTGAATTCTGGTCCGAAAACATAGGTTTTTTACGATACGTAAATGTGATGATTATCTCTAGGAGAGTTGGCAAAGAAGCTTTCTTCTGTCAAGCTGTGGAGGAAGTGTCTAGACATAGTGGGAATATACATCATGTGGGAATAACAAAAAAATGTAGCCTGAAAATCCAATGTACACTGTTTTGTTTTCCCAATGCTGGTTTCAGTTGGATTAGATTTAACAGTGGATTGCATTCATCTTTTAATCAAGTTCTGCTCTGTGTATGGAGATAAGGTCAGTGCCATTTTGCTGGTTTTGATGGATGTGATGGGATAACTGCCCCCATGAATGCAGCATGCAGGTTTCAATAGTCATGGGATATGTAATGTAGGTTGAAGACTGAGCATACTGACAGCATGTTCACCTGGCATCTTATTACGGCGACCCTCCCACAGATGTGTCTGTTAGTGCTCAAAGCCTCCCACGTACACAGCCAGCAGTTCCAGGAGCAGTGAGAAGGTGAGAGCAGGTACACAGTGGGGGAATCGTACACTGCTGCTTCACACGATGCACTGCAGGGACTGTTAATTAAGAATGTGCTTCTCAGGCAGCGATCGAACCGATGCTGGGATGGCTGAGGAGGAAAATGTACATCCTTCCTTTAATCTAAAAGATATAGTAGGATAGCATTAGCTATGTTTATTTATTGGTCAATTTTATGTCCACCAAAATTTTTTCCTCTTCGGGAAATGATCATCTGCTGGACTCTCAATAATTGGTGATTATTTCCATTATTGATTGATTGATCCTTTTTTTCTATAAATGTCAGAAAATAGTGGAAACCGGGTTCCCAGAGCCCGAGGTCACACCTTCACATTACTGGTTTTGTCTGACCAACAGCCTAGAACTCAAAGATATTTAATGTTACAGTATTAATGATAATAAAGACAGTGAAAGTGAAAACCAGAGAGTGTTTGGCATTATTGCTTGATAAATTGACTTAAATGTACTGTAAATGCTAATCTATACATATAAATAGTCAACCAACCAGTCAACTTGATCTGGATTATCATAAAATTACACATTATCTTACAGTGACGTACATTTCCCTCCTTGAATATATGAATCGAAATTTTAGCCGTTGCCATGTTTTCTGTGAGTGGATTATTTGGACTAATCTCAGCTTTGTTTGCACTGTGATCACCAACAGAGATGGCTTGTAATTACTGACGTCACACAAATGAAAATATAAACAACATTTCTCCACTGTTGGTTAATGAGCGGGTTGGTAAGAAATCTGTTGTTTGGAGATTAGATTGGAAACCTAATGGGGGGAAAGAGCCTTGAATAAAATATAGTTATAATGAAAATCTTATATTGATGCCAGATTGAAGCTCTTTACTTCACTGCACAAAGTAGTTGAGTGAATAATGTGACACAACTCAAATATGATTGATTTAACCTGTGAGACACCAGTAAACACACTGGTACTGTATGGTTGCTGTGGCGACAGACGAGGTTAAGGATCCTATTGGACAGAAGTGATCGGTGTCACCTGACCTCACTTTCCTCTAGTTTGACAGTCACACAGTTTGAAATGAAATGAATGCTTTATGCCTCAGTAATGAGAGCAGCTATTAATTCTGAAACTCCAGCACAGTAATGGGTTGATTTATCACTGTCAAAGCACGGCTGGCCGGTTACTCTTTTAAAAATGTATTTACATTGGAAGTAATTTTTAAATGAGAAATGATATGCTCTACTGAGTGAGCTCCAGGGTACTGAAACTAATTTGGGCTCTCTATTAGAATCGTCAGAGGTGAGATGTTTGCTTTTATAGTCAATGTTTGCAACAACAACCCCTTAACTTTTTGTTGTGTTTTGTGTCCCCAATTTAATCCCTTATTTTTTCAAGCTTGTGCATTTTTCGATTAAAGCAGCAACAAAGACTTTTATTTTTTTGATTCTAGCGGCAGCTGTGGATAAAAGCGGTAGTGTTTTCACCGCCTCATTTCAGTGATTTTGACCGAATTTGACCAGACATTAAGAATAACTGTAGACATAGAAATAACAAATCACACCCAGAAGAAGGAGAGATCATTTAAAATACAGATCCATGAGTCACAATGTGTTTTTTTTTTTATTCCCAGCTGTGTCGTGATTTTCCACCTTGGCCATTCGTGAGGAACAGAAGGACTCCGGTGAAGAGAACTCACTGGCTTTGTTTCCCTCCTCCCTGCTCTCCCTCCCCCCTCTGCACCCTCCTGCCTCCTCTGAATGATTGAAGCCATGCCCATCCTGTCTGCAAGTACAGGTACAGCCAAACATATGCTCAAGCTACTCGTTCATTCTCTCTGACGCTTTATAAGCTTATAAATACTGCAAATGCTAATATATCAAGCAGACATTACAGGAGCTTATTGTACATGACATTAGTACCATAAAAAGAAGCTTAGAGAAGCCTTTCTGTAAGGTTACCACGTGTTTACATGAGATTTCATTGCAGACTTCACTTGGAAGCTTGGGATTCATGCCAGTCTTATTTGGATATACCCAAACAGTAAACTCACATCAAACACCTTGCCATAAATGTTTTTATTGTGATGAGTTAGTTTCACTGAAATCTGGGGAGGAAGGCGGGCAGTGACAAGTTTACAAAGGCAGAGACTGGAGAAATAAACTAAGCCATATAGTTTCTACTGTAAAGAGGAAATGTTTTGGACTTCAGGTAGGCTTTAAGCATTTGGATCTGAATATCAACATTTGTTATCTCCTTGTGTTAGAAAAAAAAATCAATGATGTCTAACAAAACAGATCTATGATTCCTGATTGGTGTATTTGGTTCTTATTAGGATCCATAAACAACATTGGTAATACATCCAATGTGTTCAAATACACTTTGTAAAGACACGTCATCATAGAAAAGATTCTATTTTCAGTATTAACATCGGCCAAATGCGTGTTTGAATACATTTTTTTGTGATTCCTAGGCCTGCATGAGACTCTGGCCCTGCTCACCTCTCAGCTTCACCCTGATGCCAACCATAAAGAGGACCTGGTCTTCCTCAAAGATGTCTTCAGTGAGAAGAGCCTTGGTTACCTCATGAAGGTACAGCAGCCATGTCTGAGTAAAAGTGACTACTTGAGATTGTGATCTTTGGCCCGAATGTGGCCTTCCTATCATGGTTGACAGTCGCATACTGTCTTTCTTTACTTTAAAGGTCCAGTGTGTAACATTTAGGAGGACCTATTGGCAGAATTAGAATATAATATTCATAGATATGTTTTCATTAGTGTATAATCACCTGAAAATAAGAACCCTGCTCCTCTTCTGTGGAACGTTGAACCGCCATGTTTCTACAGTAGCCCAGAACGGACAACCCAAACACTGACACTAGATAATGCCTTTCACATTTTTTGGCGAGTTCAGTTGTTTTTCCTACACAAACTGAAGGGTTGGGTGAGGTGAGTTGGTTGCAGTCTGCACCCCTAGATGCCACTAAATCCTACATATCCTTTTAAAAACAATTCTATGAAGAGTGCAGGAATCCAATCAGCTTGAACAACCTGCAGTACTGCATATAGAAACAGTTTAGCCTCATCTGAAATGTTTGTCTAGTATCTCCCAGATTAGTTTTTCTGATAAACCTGTACCTGAATGCAACAATACTCTCAGACTACCAGAACTTGCATACAGCATTATACAGGTCTCTCTAGATATATAATGGTAGAAACTCCAGGTTTTTCTAAATTGAATCAGCTGATTCTTGTCAACATGTCCTGTAAAGAAGTCACTCTGTTTGTGTGTGCATATCTGTGTACCTTTTCATGTGTTGTGCATCCCAGATCCATGACAAACTGAGGCAGTATGAGAAACACAGTCCGACTCCAGTTCTGCACAGCGCCTCCTGTCTGGCAGAGGATGTAGGTGCAATCTTCTCCTCAACGTTTCAAAGCCAAACTAAAGCTGAACATTAAATACCATTAATTAAAATAATATAATTAAATACCAAGTAAACATTTGTTGTAATCCAGCAAAGGAAATTTTCTAAAGTAAATTTATTTTACGAGGAGATTGGGCACAACATTTGGAAATATTTGATTTTTCTGATTTAAATCGTCAGCTGGCAGAAGAGCTTCAGAATGGAGCTCTGGAGGACGATGAGAGGGAGCTGCTTCTCCTGCTGAGCACTCCTCACTTCAAGGTACACACGCACACACACACACACACACACACTTACTGACACACACATACATTTTGTGTCTTTTGTCTTATAAATGCTTGACTCTTGTCTCTTTCCCCTCATTCCTTCTGATGTCTGATCTCTTTAATGTCGTTGCTTCTCAGAGGAAAATCAGAGCAGCTCAGGGTGAAAGCACTAAGTTGATCATCTGTTACATAACACCAGCGTCAGAGCTGTCTGTACCCCTTCGCCTGTCCCCTAGACACAGACAAGACTGCCTAATTACTCTTATCAAGTGATTATTTTCAATTTATTGGCTTTCTGGGGAGCGGAAAGGATGACAGCTGTGAAAGCAGAATGCACATTTGCGTTCTTAATGTTGTCGTTGTCATTCAGGCTCTTAAATCGTACCTGTCTGTGTGTTGTTTCCTAAAGGCAGTGCTGGCAGCCCATGACACAGTAGCCCAGAAGAACTTTGACCCGGTGCTGCCGCCACTGCCGGAGGACCTGGACGACGACCTGGAGGAAGAGTCTGTCAAGATTGTCCGCCTGGTGAAGAACAAAGAGCCCCTGGTGAGGCAAAATAAGAGCTCTCCCCTCCACTCAACAGCTGCTATTCTTGTGCCCTCAAGTGAGGCTTCAAGACTCCATTTACTTTAATGGAGTAGATTTGAGGCTTTAGAGAGCTCCGGGGTGTGAATGTGTGTCTCTGTGTGATGCTATAAAAAAATCCATTCTGAAGGAAATCCTTCAAGCAAAGGACAAAAAATAGATTTGGTGTTAACTTGTCAGAAACACCTTCTGCAGTGACACCAGTTCTGCAGCAACAAGCATAAATTACAGAGCTAAATATCTTTTATTATAAACACAGCCCAGTTTGATCCAAAGGTGATTTGGCAGTTTACTTAAGTACTGTTTTTCTTTTTTGACTTGCTATCACAGTCTCACACACAAGTGCGTTTGATTTGTTCCTTTTCACATGTGGGAGTGCTCATCTGTCCTAGTTGATATTGTACAACCCACATAATATGTGCAGCCTAATGGCTAGATGTTAAGAAGTAGTTAGACATTTTGGGAAATTTACCTTTTTCTTGCCAAGAGTTGGATAAAACGATCAATACCACACTGTCTGTACGCTAAAGCTGAAGCTGCAGTACACAGACGGTTCGTTTAGCTTAGCCTCCTCAAAGGATGTGATTTGGTCATCAAGTATCAATATCTCCAGTCACACAGGGTTTTGGCATTTGCTCTAACAGGTTATTGATCTTTTGAGCAAAAGCCACCAACCTGCACATGAGGAGCAGCTCTTTACCACAGGACTGTATCAGCACAGTGAACTGAAGATTAGATGTGTGTTTGGAAATTTGTTGTTGCGTCTGTTCCATCAGGGAGCGACCATCCGGAGAGACGAAGTAACGGGAGCTGTAATCGTGGCCAGAATCATGAGGGGAGGAGCAGCTGACCGCAGTGGTGAGACTAAGCAGTTTTCAGTATATCAGTTGTATTCTTTTTTCCCACCCAACAGGACTTTCTTATCTCTACTGATACACAGACCGAGAAGTGAGGAGATTACGTTGTGTAACCCCATGAACTGTCAACAGAGATCAAATCCTTGAGATTAGTGCCACGAGATTGCATATTTTGAGATTACAAACAAGGGTTTCTCCTGGCTGTTGCCATGGAGATGTTATCGACTTCATGCCAGTGGAAAATTCTCTTTCTGTTCATATCTGAGCTTCAAACACTAAAAATACTCCTGGTGGTACTGCAAATGCTGGGATTTTCCTTTGCTTTATTTTGCTTGGATTGTATGCTTTTTTTCACTAGACTTGTTTTGTGGGTGTGTTGTTATTGTTTGTGTTTCCAGGTCTGGTGCATGTTGGGGATGAGCTTCGAGAGGTCAATGGAAACCTGATCACCCACAAAAGGCCAGATGAAATTAGTCAGATACTGGTAAAGGAAAAAAAGCATCATACTAGCACAGATACTGTATAATTATTTCCTGAATATGACTGTGGATGCAGTGGATGATGATGCTGCTCTGATGTTTTCAGTCCCAGTCACAAGGCTCCATCACTCTGAAAATTATTCCAGCTGTTGCAGAAGAAGACAAACTGAAGGAAAGCAGGGTGAGAACTAATTTATCTGAAACCTAAATGTAGAATTAAATTGAATTAATATATAATTAATCCAGAAAGAGTAAACAGAGACTTTCTCCTGCCACAGAAAAAGATGTCTAATTTATTAATTGACGTCTTTAATAATTTTCCAAATAAAAACATTGTTGTGTTCTTATTAAAGACTCACACTCTCACTGGTAATCTCATTAGGAACAGCAGATCTCTTGTTTAATGTATTAAAATATGCAACATTCGGGGAAATTAAACCTTTATTTGTTTTCTTGGTGAGAGTTGGATCAGAAGATCGATACCACTCTTATATCCGTCCATTAGATATAAAGCTAGAGCTAGCTTAGTGTTGCATAAAGACTGGAAACAACAAGAAACGGCTAGCCTGGTTTTGTCTCAAGGTAACATAATCCACCTTCCTCTCAGGGCCGGGTTATGCTCGGTCAGGTCACATTTTCAGACAGCCATACTGTTGCATTTGGTTGTTCATATGAAAAGTGACAGAGATGGTGTCAAGAATGAAAAGAGAGAGAGAGAGAGAGAGAGAGAGAGAAGTTCAAATTTTCTGCTTCAGAAAGGTTTCAGAAATGGTTGGACGGCTTTGGAAAGGTGTGATGGAAGGGGGTTTTCGAAAAGCTCCTCGACCATCCGAGAAGGACTTCTTAAGAAGTATACTTATACCAGCCTTAAGTTCACTTACTGGCATGTTTGTTTAATTAGTACAAAAGACTAAAAAGTCAGGCTACTGGTTTTCCCCTGTTTCCAGTCTTTATGCTAAGCTAAGTGGCTGTAGCTTTACATTTAATGGTAAGATATTATCACCTAACGCTCTGCAAGAAAGCAAATATTATCATATTTCCCAAAGTCAACTATTGTTATCATTGCTAACATCATATTCCTGCTCCCTGTAGGTCTACCTTCGGGCTTTGTTTGACTACACACCCTATGAGGACAAGGCCACGCCATGCCAAGAGGCGGGACTTCCTTTCAAGAGGGGGGACATTCTTCAGGTTGTCAGCCAGGAGGACGCTACCTGGTGGCAGGCTAAGAGGGTGGGCGACTGTAACCTGCGCGCTGCCCTCGTCCCCTCTACACAGTTCCAGGAGAGGTACTCGACATCAACTCTGCTGTCAAAGAAATAACTCAGTTTAAAGCCACTATGTGTAGGGTTTGAAGATGTCTGTGCAGATCAACTCTGTTGTTTTTGTGCTTCCCAGGCGCCTGAGATACAGGATGAAAATGCGTTCTTTTCCTGCCCCTTCGTCCCCCAAAGCTCCTACATGTAAGCCTATTTCACCTCTGCAATCAACAATTGTCTCTCATAACCTACAGTGCAACCATAAATGTACAAGACGCTTAGATCTACAGCTGCAGCTTGTACTGGCTATTGGCTAAATCTAATCTTACCAAGGAGACACATAAAGAGAGATTATGAAATGAGAACAGAGGATCTGAGGTTAATCTCTAAAAAAAAAAAATAAAATGTAATCCATCGTTTCATTTCCTAATCCAATTTAAAAGTAGAATGAAACAAAGTGGTTTGAAAAACAGCGGGTGGTGGTTTTCTTCTGTCTGTCGTAAAAGCTTCCTCTAAGCTTATAAAAAGATGTAGAAATCCTGCAGTATGATTGTGTGTGTGAAGGTGTTGCCCTTTGATCTGAATGTCTGAGTACTGTGAATCGGGTAAAAGCTGTTTTATAGACTCTCTTTAATAAATCTGTATAAAGGACAAGAGATGTAGATAAAGTCAGTGAAGGATTTCTAAATACAGATGCAATTGACTACAGTACAGCAGCTGTATAATATTCTGTCACTCTTTATAGTGATACTTTGTGTTATCCTTTGCATTGCTAACCTCAGATGATCGTGCTGAGAGAGGTACGTGGATATACCCTCATGTTAGAAAATCATCCCCGCATCAGCTCCATGTTATCATAGTCAGAATTTCTTAATGAAATTCTATCATCACCCCCCCAAGCCTAAAAAAAACCAGATTATGTATTTTTGTTTCCCATAATTTACCCTTTTTTTTTTACCTTTTACAGTTGCCTTTATATCCTCAAAATCTTAGTAATGTACTTACTGCATTTAACCTCAACATCAACCTCTCCTGCCTCCTTTTACCCTGTCTTCTCTTCCTGCATGTCGTCCTACAGAAGACTGTGACAGTGAGGGTGCTCTGAATGGAAAGGACATAGGTGAGGAGGCATGCTCAAAGAGTTAATCACTGCAACATAACATCTTTTCGCTCAATGTGTGCTAATCCATCCCTCCTTTTTTAAAAGCTGTTCTTGAGGTGTTACAGTGGATTGCTATGTGCTGGTTTGGTTTTTAATGAACGGTCGCGACAGGTGTACGCTTGTAAATCTGCATTCACTAGTTTATTCTTTGAACTCAGTGCCAGATGTAACACCTCACCTCGGCACTCGGCAAAATAATAACTGAAGAGATTTGTTTGTTCCACCACACCTGACCTGGTCTATGGGCTCAGTTAGCAAACTCGTGAGTTTGTTCATCAGACATCCTGGCTGCTTTTAATGGCTTTATGTGACCTCTGTTTCTGTGGGTTTGTTGTGCCTGAAAACATTACCCCAGCTGTTTTGACCTGGACCTTATTTTCACATCTTATTCCATCAGGCAGATTGACTCACTAAAATATCATAGACAGACACACACTTACACACAAGTCGAGAATTAACATAAGAATGACTCATTACACAGTGTGTGGTATAGCACTATCAATCATATGGCTCTAGTGATGGCAACCATTGGAATATATCTCAACAACAACATTCATGGTCGCCCGAGCATCAGCCTAATGACTTTCCCTTTAGCGCTACCATGTATCATATTTGTGGTTTAGAGTGAAATGTCTAGACAGCTGTTGGATGGATTACCATCTTATTTGATGCATACATTCAAGTTCCTGTCAGGATTAATTGTAATGAATTTGCTGATCCCTTAACTTTTCCTTTAGTGCATGGATCTCAAACTTCCAGCCCTCGATCCCCCTCCCTCAGGCCCGAAAACATGATAATCAAAAATGTAATATAATCCGGCCGGATTATATTTTCTGGTTGTTTCACATCAATTTAAACTACCCCTTCAAGTGGACTCACACCAATTTGAGTTTTACTCTTTTTACTTTTAAGTAAGAGTTTTACTTTAGTGTCATCATTAGCTCAAAATGTCATGCTTGTTAGCAGGCTAACATGCTAAACTAAGATGGTGGACATGGTAACCTGTTAAACATCAGTATATTATTGTAAGAATTCTGACATTAGCATTTAGCCTTTTGATAATTGTTCAGCATGCTTAGTGCAAAATAAAGACACAAGCTGTGAATTAAGCTAAATTTAAACATAAGAATTATTTGGCCACCAGCATCAACAGGCTGCTAAAAACCAAGTACCACTACTGTACAACAATTGATCAGTGATGAAATTGATCAGTTTGATGGACAATCATGTGAAAACTGTTAAGGTTAAAAATAGCTGGACTTCTGCTTTAACAGTCACAGATTTTTCTGTATTAAACACATCAGCATTGAGTGGCAGTGTATTGTGGGTGTATCTTCATGCCCTTGCCGTGTCCAAAAAAAGCTCAGCGCTTTGTGTGTGTGGATTTGTGATGGGCTTTTTGTGCCGTAATCTTCAGCCACCGAGCTTCTCACAGGGTTTTTGTGGTGGCTCACATATCTCATTGTGCTCCACAAAAGGCCTCTCCTCACGCTACATGCTAAAGGTGCTTCATGTGTTCATGTATGGTGAAGAGGTAGACACAGCATGCATGGCTTCCCAGCTTCTTATTCTGTTGATGAGATTTAAGCTGGCTGAATAAATGGTCTAATCTGAGCTTTAGTTTCTCCCAAGAGTAAGGCAGCCCCTGCCTTCTGTGGCCATGCTTTCTCATGGGATTTTTACTCAGGTACTCTCACTTATTTCTAACGGTGTTGTTCAGCGTGTCTGTGTTGTGTGATGTATGGCACAGGATTTGAATTTTAATCAGGGAGAAATACAGATTTGCAGTTCAGCTCTTTTATTAAGCTTGTAACTTGCATTTCTCAATGTCAAGGTTGGTTTCAAAGTGGCGGTGTGATCATTAAGAGGGTTTCAGTACGTGGGTCTCTGCCCATCTTACCTTTGCTCGTCTTTGACCACAGTTGGCCTGCGCAGAAGTTTCCGCCTCCGGAAAGATCGCCAGGGTTTACCAGGAGAACCTCAAACTCCAGATGCCAATCACACAGAGTTCCTGATTTATGAAGAAGTAACACAATATCTGCCCCGCCCTGGAGAAAGGCCTCGTCTCATAGTTCTGATAGGTAAGAACGTTGAAGAAATTCTAGTATTTTATGATGATCTGCTGTGCTGTGAAATACATTTATTTCTCCTTGAGTCTGGTTCTGTCATATGTATATTTTCTGATATATGTTTTCCTCCTCTTGTATAACTGTCTATTCAGTAATTTATTCTTATGTGGACGCAGGTTCCCTGGGAGCTCGAATCACTGAGCTCAAACAGAGGGTGATCGCTGAAAACCCTCGACGTTATGGTTTCGCAGTGCCTCGTAAGTCTTTATGCTTTATAAATATTTACTCTTTTTAACCCTCATACTCAGTTAAATTAAGTTATATACCATCAAATTAGCTGGAATCTTATTACACAGAAAAGATCATTTCAGACCTGAGGTAAATGTTTGCATCAGACTACCAGTTCGATTTAAAAAAGGCTTCATATCTCAATGAGCACATTTATGTTCTGCTTTCAGAGAGGCTGATCCAATGCATGGGTGTTATATCATGACTCATACATTAATTATGCATGTGTTTTGCAACCTTATTATAAAAAAAAAACCAACAACATACAAACACTCAGTTTTTTTTTTCCCCACCCTGTCTCCCTGCTGGCTGTGTTTGAACATGCGGCCTGAAGACACCACTCGAGCCAGGAAGTCTCACGAGAGAGAAGGAGTGGAGTACCACTTCATCAGTAAAGCTGCTTTCGAGGCTGACATCCAGAATGGAAAGTGAGTATTGGACAGTGAATACTTTCTCACTGAATCTTGATTCTTGATGAACACTTTACTTTTTATTTCAGGAGAATGCAGACTCTGAACAAGAAACTGATTTGCTACGGCCTCTGTTCGTACTTTGAATAATTAATGACGGCACTGTGTTTCTGCAGGTTTATTGAATATGGGGAGTATAAAGATAATCTGTATGGCACCAGCTTGGAGTCCATTCACAGAATTTTGGATCAAAACAAGGCCTGTCTGGTGGATGTGCAACCAGAGGTTAGTATCGAAACTGATATGCAGCACTGCCAACCAAACACATTTCTGATTGCAATACCTGGCGAGTACTTAACATTGTGCTTGTACAGACATGGGGTCAGACACAAGAATTTTTCAGTTGATTCCTCCCTCATTTTATGGATCTATCTTCCAACGTAAATACATCAATTAGGATAATCAGAAAATGTGAAAAGGAATTTGTCTAATTTATCTGTTAAATAAGTAAAATAAGCTCATTTTATCAGCCTCAAATAAGCCCCTGACAGTTCATGCAGTATGCGGCAGAGTGGATTTTAATTAGTGCAGAAGTCGTATATTCCAAGATTTAGCGTCACTAATCTGACACTTAAATTAGAGTTGTTAAGGTTTTACTTGTCACATTTTAAGCATGACTAAGTTTTGATTGAGTCTTCAGCGCGGAGAATTTAGTTCACTGTGAACTGAAGGGTGCTTTCACACCCAAGTACCTCAAGTTTGGATTGGCTGTTATGTCTGTCTTATGTTGAGGTTATTTAATGTTTATGTATTGACATTTAAAGACTCAAATTATTAGAATTTGTAAACTGTTTTGACATGGCATTTAGGATTTTACATTAAGAATATTGTCATTGATCGACAGTGCAAAGAGAAGACTTAATGTCTACTGTACAATCTAAACATGGTAAAGTCCTTTTAGAGGTAACATATTGAGTGTTTCTCCCACATTCAGGTGCTGAAGACTCTACGTACCGCTGAGTTCAAACCATATGTCATCTTTGTAAGGCCTCGCATCTACGATAGTCCAAGGAAACCACTTGGCTCCTCTTCCTCACTCAGCTTGGGGATCACGGTGAGTCACATGAAAACACTGCCCACATAAAACCTGAATACCCTGACAAACGGGACCGCGTCATTATAAAGAATGACTAAATGCAACCTCTCCCAAATGACAGTAATTTCAAGAGCTGTAATTTATTAGTTTTTTTTTCCACGTGTTCTGATATGTGTGAATCAACATCTCTCCTTCCCTGCGCTGACTAGGAGGAGGACCTACAGGAAATGAAACAGTCAGCTGAGCGCATCGACGAGTGCTACGGCCATTGGGTGGACTACGTGTTGGTGAAGGAGGACCCAGGCAGTGCCTTAGCTGAGCTCCAGGTTGTACTGGAGAGGGTGCAGACGGAGCCTCAGTGGGTGCCTGTGTGCTGGGTGAGGAGCTAGCCTGCTTAACTGAGCTCAACTGGTTCAAGTTGGATCAGTGGACCACTGTGTGTGTGTGTGTTTGGAGGACAGACAAACTGTGGGAAGCCTTTGGAGGTTCTGAGTGATCCAGTGTTTACTGCCATGCTAACCGTTCCACAAATACAAGTTTGTGATAGTTGGCCAAGTGAAGTCATATCGAAACATCTGCAACGACTGAGCTGCTTTTTCATCAGTGTGAACATCAAGCAAGCCTTTCTGTTTTAGATTCTTCAGTGTAAAATGACATACTGTATATCTAAGTTGTACAATGGCAGTATAACAGCTCTAACAGGCATGTAGTACATGCATGTGGGACAAAGTTCCTAAAGCAAGCTGTAGTCAAAGATCGATTATGTGAGATGTGTACTGTAATAGCAGCTACAATGTGATGTGCCATATCGAGCATTTACAAAACCTGTATCGTAAAACGAAAAAATAAATCTGCAGCTCGTGCTGGAGACTGTACATGTTACTGTTCATCTGTCTTGTAAGTCTGACGTTAATGAGGAACGGTTGACTTTGTTGGTAGAAGATAATGAACTGATGAGAAATAAAACTCATGAGCCATCCAGTATTATTTGGGGAAACCATTTACTTTAGAATGAGTTATGTAACAATTATAAACCAAACCATAAACAAAAAGAAAGAAAATATACATATGTGTTTGCATTGTGTGCAAGAATACACAAGGCCTTTTACTTCCACAGCTTCTTGATCGACATGTTCTTCTCGCTGTCTTTCTGCATCACCTGGTGAAGAGAACAAAATATGTTGAATAAAATATACATAGGTAGCTACAGGTCCAGTGGAGTGAAAAAAACAACAAGGATACACAGTACAAGCGATTGGTTACACAAACCTTTGCCACAGCCATCTCAAAGTCCTCCTGGTTGACGTGAACTCTCCTTTCTCTCAGAGCGTACATCCCTGCCTCTGTGCAAACACCCTAAAAATACACACAAGAGAATTAAATAAAAACACCAGCTGTGTTCTCCCTTTATTTACCACCCAACTGCTACCACTGCAGGCCAATTCTCACCTTAACCTCAGCCCCAGAGGCTCCAGGCATCAGCTCTGCAATCTTCCTCAGATTAATGCCACGTGTCAGGTTCATCTTCCTCGAGTGGATCTTCAGGATGTCCAGGCGGGCCTATTGGTGCAGAATTAAGATATGCTCAAACACAAAAAAACAAAAAGCATATATATTTATGTTGGTATATACTGTGCAAGTGAATACCTCTTCATTTGGAGGGGGAAACTCAATCTTCCTGTCAATCCTGCCTGGCCTGAGCAGAGCCGAGTCCAGGATGTCAATACGGTTGGTGGCCATAATGACCTGAGAGAGAAAGTGAATTTTATTCAGATTAAAACAAATTGATATCGTTATTAGAGAAGTAAGATAATGATGATGTATAAATAAACTCCTAATGCTTCAATACTGTGCATTGTGAACAGCTTAATGGTTAATAGTAACACTATTTCAGGGTGTGCGATACCTTGATGTTCTTGGTGGCCTCGAAGCCGTCCAGCTGATTGAGCAGCTCCAGCATTGTCCTCTGCACCTCACTGTCACCGCCTGAGCCGCCCTCTAGGCGAGACGACCCGATGGAGTCGATCTCGTCCATGAAGATGATAGAGGGAGCATGTTCTCTAGCCATGACGAAAAGCTCACGCACCATACGGGCACCTGGTGCAAGAGAGGGAGGAATCAAGATTACACCATCAGATGGGATAGGAAATTAATCTGATTACAGTATTAAGAAGAGACAGAGGAGCTCACCCTCTCCAATGAACTTCTGGACCAGCTCAGAGCCAGACACCCTGATGAAGGTACAGTCTGTGTGGTGGGCCACAGCTCTGGCCAACAGGGTCTTCCCTGTACCTGGGGGACCATACAGCAGCACACCCTGCACACATTCAAAGCAGAAATCAGAACAATCTGTACACTGACAGAGACAGCATGTGACTAGAGCAACAGCAGTGAGTTGATTGTCAGAAAATTAATCCACAACAATTAGATAATCTATTGTTTATCACTTTTCAAGCCACAATGACAAAACTTGGTTGCTGCTTCTATAGACCAACCGATAATGAAAATAATTGTCAATATAACAATATCACTTCTGTCAAGTAAGATCTTTTTTTATCTCCAAGAAACCTAGATAAGTCTTTTTCTGACTGGATGACATTGCAGTTTGGATATTGTCTGAAGAATTTCGTTAGAGGATATTCTCAACCCCACACCTGCCATCTCTACACTAATCTAACTAAATAAAAATGAATATAACAAGTCACACACAAAGCAATAATATACAAAGTGGCTAGAGACACTCCTTTATCTGAGAGGCCACATAAGTGCCCCAGTGATGCCACCATATCTGCCTTGCTGAAATGTCATCAGTTTCAGCAGCACCCTTCTGTATTTGAACCTGAGGACTCTCTCCTTTAAGAATCAGTGTGAAAATAAGTACAGCTCTTGTACACTATTAGCTTTCTTGTCAATCACCCACCTTGGGTTGTGCAATGCCTAAAGCCTCAAACAGCTCTGGGTGCTTGACAGGCAGCTCAATCACTTCTTTGATCTCCTTGATCTGCTTATCCAGGCCACCAATCATTTCATAGGTGGAGTCCGGCACCTTCTCCACCATCATAAGGGATACCAGAGGGTCCACCTTGTTGGGCAGGATCTTGTGCAGAGTGTAGCTGTCGTTACGCAGAGCCACGCGGCAATTTGGAGTCACCTGGTGGAGAAGAGACAAATGGATTTTAGAATACTTCAAGTTTCATGTTTCCTGACATGAAATCTTCCTTTAGTTCAGTGACTGATTGCACAGGGGAGCAAGTGGCTCTTTTGATTTGCTATTTATTCTCTTAATGTTTGTTTGACAAGTGTTCTGGTTGTGTTATTGTAATGGGGGGAAAAGGTGCTCTGACTTGCAACCATGAGTAAGATGAACTATAATACTAACATCATTGATGTCAATGTTCTTGTCCACGTCTACGACAAATTTTCCCTCCGGATGCACCTGAAAAAGTTGAGGAGACATGTTAATTTAAACTTTCTACTAGTAATCAAAATATAGTGCGCTACAAAGTACAAGTACACAGCATACCTTGACCAGCACTTTCTTTTTGTCCATGACCCTAACCACTTCTCCTACGTAGGACCCCTGCTCCTGTAGTAACTGCAGCTCCTCACGAAGGAGACGCACTGAGGAGGGGGGAGTATGATTTAATTTTTTTCTGTACAGCTTCATATGATCGAATGAAATAAGACTTTAAAATACACTGGTGTTGCAGTAATGAAGAACAGTGTACCTTTGGCATTGAGCTCATTTCTCTGTGCCTGCAGACGTCTGAGATTCTGGCTCTTGTCGTTCACCGTCAACTGTTGAGAAAAGAGCGGTTTTCAGGACTGACAGCCAAGCGCAAGTTGTGCAATCCGAGTCAAATTACCAGCCGAAAGCTTGCAGATATATTATTTTCTTACCTGTAACTCTTCTATCTTAGACAGGTAGTACTGCCGGAGACCTGAGCCACCTTTACTCTCCCCCATCTCCATCTGTCAAAGAAAGAACATCATCAATCTTTCCACTACCATCTTCAAAATCTTTGTAAAACTACAGTAAAACACTAGAGATATCCATTTACGATATAAAACAGCAGAAAGCAGCAAATGCTCATATTTGAGAAACTAGAACCAGATTATATTTTGGGTTTTTACTAGATAAATCATCTTTAACAACAATAATCAATTCTTTTAGATACACTTTCTGTTGGTCGACTTTGTACCTAAGTTAAGTTAAAGGATTTTCAAAATAATACCAAGTTACACTATGCACACAAAAGTAATACGCACCAAGTATTTTAAGTGAACAAAACACCGTTATCCAGAAATAGTCTTTATAACAAAAACACCAACAATAAAGTGGGCCAAAAGCTAACCCAACGTTACTCGCCTCTCCATAATTGTAGCTCCCTTGCTAACGTTACTTTACCTGCTAACACTCATTAACGTCGGCAAGCTATTAGCTAACGTCAACTCGACCTGACACAGCAAGGAAGACGGTTCATGTGATCACCCTCCAATTATTAGCACCTTTAAGTTGTATTTAGCACCAGTTATTTATTCTAAACCTAAAAAAAACAAAAGAGAGACTGCTCCCCGAGATACCGCTACTGCTAGCTGTAAGTATTGACAGTGAGCCTTAGCTTAGCTGGGTTAGCTACAATGAGACAGCAAACCGGCAGCGGACTATTACACTTATTGTTCTGAATGAAGTGACATTTCACTATTTACAGCGCAGTCGCACAACAATGCGAGCTCACTGGTTTCAACAAACGGCTCAACTCAAAGCGTAGCAGTAACGTTTCTTCCATGATATACCAATAAAAAACCAACAAAACGGCAGAAAAAATACACCTACATGATCGATACCGTCCACCTCCATGTTGAAATTTTCTGCATCCGCTTGAGGACAGGCGTATTTCCGGAAGAGTTCTTCTTCGGGGTGTTGTTTCATGAAATAAATGCGCACATCGCCACCTGCAGTCCATTTTAAGTCCCCACCGTTTAACGTGTTGTTTTGGCTCTTAAAATGATTTTGTTTCTGTTATCATAACGCCTAGAGAAAGCGTAGTTAACTTACATAAACAGCATGCTGCAGTTTGTTATCAGTCCCCTTTCAAACGGAGACTCGGGCATGTGAAGAGGATGTGTTTGTGTTGGCCGTTATTTGAGGAGTGGTAGATACTGTAAGAGACAGGTAAGACCGGCCATACCTGTTGAAACCGCTGCTCAGAGGCACCTGAGCTCTCCGACTAGCCCTGACATGCACACTCACAGTCAGACCCCAACTTTGATCAGACAGGCTGTAGAGGGTATGAATGGAAGTCTACACCATTATTAATTAGAGTATAAGATAATAATATAAAGTAATATGTTCTAGATTATGAAAAATACAGGATAACAAACATTTGTAAGTATATTTATTGTAAAAAAAAAAAAAAAAAATCCTCCAAATGTATAAAAGATAAAGGCTTTTGATTGATACACAACATGCAAAACATTTTACAAAGAGGCTGTACAAAACAAATATTTGTACACACAATATTTCTTAAATTCTGAGTGCCTTCTTAAAAAAACAAACAAATTTTGGCACATTGATATCTGTTATTATGGAATGTTTAAAGAAATTCAGGAGGTCCTCTCATGCAAAACCTCAACACAAAAGCATTTCAATGAAAAGTTAACACATGAAACTTTAAACTGTACACAACATTTTGGTGCATTGTTTAGTTGACACGCTACAACTGCATTCCTATTTTATTAATACCAGTTCACCCTCTTGGGAAGTATGGATCATTCAATCCAAACAGTTCTTCTTCCTGGCATTAAAACAATGAAAAAACCCAATAACAAATGAAAATAGCATGTAAACAATCAAAAGCTGCTGCATTACAGCTGGACACAGTGGACTCCTGTCCGTGAACCAAAAAGGAGCTCAATCTTTCCCAAAAGTAGAGCTTTCCTGGAAATCCTGCTTTCTTACACACTAAAGAAAGGTTTTATTT